GGTTGAGACAGCATGGACTCCTGTTAACCCTAGGCCGAGGTGGGGAAACCAATCGAGCCCCAATAAGGTGGGTAGATTGCCATTAATTACCACTAGAGGTAGGTGGCCTTTAAAAGCTCTAAAACTGACAAAGAACTTGCCTCTGCCGATCACGGGAATGGCCTTCCCCTGGTAGTCCTTCAGACCGAACTGGCATCTCTGAAGCCGGGTAGTAGATAGGCTGGGGTGGAGTCTCTTGAGGGTGTTCCACGAGATTATTGAGAGCGCTGACCCTGTGTCAACCTCCATGTGGCACGGTTTACCTTCTAGGGAAACGGAGAGAGAAATTTTACTAACAGAGTGGCAAGTACGCCTGGCAAGGCGGTGCGTGCGACAGTTTAATACTTGCCTCTGTGGTCCCGAGTGCGAGGACGGGGGTCTTTGTGCAGCGCTTTGGGGGGCTTGGCAGACTCTCGCAATGTGCCCCCTCTTATGGCAGTTGTTGCAAACGGCTCCTTTAAACTTGCAGGTGGCCCTTTGATGTGATCCCCCACAGGCTAGGCACAGGGTGATGTGCTTGGGTGGACCGGTGTATTCTTGTTTGGCCCCTACCTGCGACCGTCTGTCATTGGTGAGGCGATGGACATCGTTCTCATCGTTGTGGCCTTCCTCCGCTTCCACCTCTTCGGAATGGACTGGGAACGCTGCTAGCTTGGCACTTGGGCCCTGAATTTCGGTGGCTGAGTTCGTTGCTAGCTCGGCTGCTAGGGCCTCCTCTACCGCTTGCGCGAGGTTGAGGTCTTTTTTAGCTAGCAGTCGCCTCTGTAGGTTGAGATCCTTGACCCCACAAACCAATTGATCGAGGAGCATGTCCTCCAGGTATGTTCCAAACCCGCAGTGCAGGGCTGCTGTTCTGAGGGCGGCCATATATTGGTTGATGGTCTCCTTACTTGATTGCTTCCTCATTCGGAACGTGAACCTCCTGGCGATTTGTGAAGGCCTGGGAGCGTAGTGGTTTGTGAGGATCTCAAGCAACTCGGACCACGGAACGTTTTTTAATTCTCTCGGCGCCACGAGTGCTGCAGCGGTATCGTAAACGGTGGCTCCGCAGTAGATTAGGAAATAGGATTTTTTCCGATGCTCTCCCGCATCCGACAGGCCGACCGCATCGATGTAATGATTGAAACGGTTCTTATACGATTCCCACTTCTCTTCGTCTGGTTTAAACGCCGGGAATACTGGATTGGAACTCATGGTGCTGGAACGGCTGGGCTACCTGCGGGAGAAAATCTCTCTGGGACTACGAACGCTCGTGAGTTACTAGTGATATCAGCTCTGGAGAGGTTTTTTGCTACCCTCTCTTTCTCTCTCTCTGGGTTACCACGTTGGCTGCTAGCCGTTGGAGGTGTCTTGATTCGCGCCAAAAAAAGTGGGCGTTAGTGACTCTCTACAGCGCTGTGCTGTGATTCCTACTGGCTCGAAATTCAAATGACACCCGTTTGAATTTCGCGCCAAATGCAGAGCGGCTGCGGCTCGCAGCGCTTCACTTTCCCCGTAGCGAGGCTAACAAGCGGCTACAGACGCTTCTAACTATTTGACTCAGACCGCTTTCTCTGGCTGCGGATCTGCGTTTGCTCTTTTTGATCGCTCGTTTCGCTAGCTGACCGCTCTCTCTGGCTGCGGATCAGCGTTTCCCTTGTTGCCAGCCGATCGCTCTCTCTGGGCTGTAGATCGGTGGCTAGTGACTCAGCGGTTGCAAGGTGCTTCTGGTAGCCATCCCATCCTCGTCGCCAGTGTTAAGTTTGAGCAATGAGAGGCTGAACCAGAGCATGAGTACAACAGTACTTTATTTTACAAATAAAGGGCTGACCGTGCTTGCCAAGCCTGGAACTGGCTCGCAGCAATCAGCAGCCAGTTGGACCCCGCAGCCTGCTTTTATAGCTGGCTGCTGGGGAGAACTGACCAATGGGAATGGGGGAATAACGCCCACACAAAGTGAGTGGACCTGAGTGAGAACTCCTTGAGTCCTCAGGACATAACACCATGGATGGCAAAAATGAGGTGCCCCATTTTGGCCAGCAGAGTGCTCCAGGAGGCATCCATCCTGCCCCATGCTGCTCCCTTACTGCCCTTCTTCCTCATCCCCACTGCTGGCCCACAGAGGAGAATTACAATGCTGATCCGACCCTCAAAGAAATCCAGTTTGACACCCCGGTATAGAAAGTCAAAATTATATTGCGCAACCAGAAATCCATTATAATATACTAAATGGGCTTTTTTTTTGCTAAGCTACAAATAAGTGAAGTTCCATTTCTGTGGGCTCTAAATTTGACTAAATAATGGGCCAACTAATTATTAGTCTGTTCTGAACATGCCAAATCACTGTTCTTGTTTCCATGCTAGGCAGACAAAAATAAACAAAGAGGAAGTAAGAACAAACTACCAAACATTTTAGCCTTAAATTAAATCCAGTTAACCATGTTCCATTGATTCTAATAGTTCCAAAGAAAGGGAATCAAAATATTTCTAATCTTATCAAGTTAGGATGCAAATCAAATCACAAAATAATAAACAGAAAGATGAATAACTTAGCAGGAAGTGGGTGGTTGAGAAAGTGACAGATGGGTGGAATTAATGAGATCTGGAAAAAAGAAAGATGAGAAATTTAAAGGACAAAAGATAATATACGAGATGGTATGAGGATGTGAGAAAACAAGAATTGTTTGCAAGTATGAACAGGTATTGTGTAATGAAATGTGTGGCATAAACCAGATTTAACTATTTCCTTTTTATACCCTGATGTCATTCATTTAATTTATTTGGTTTACTATTTTGTATTCCATTTTTGCTTTCTGCAAAACATTAGCCCCCACAAAACCTGGCGTCATGGCTTTGTATGCATGCATGCCATTTTTAAATGACACCTGAATGAAAAATCACTTTCTGCAAGACCACTAAATTTTATTTCTGTTGTTAGAAAGGTAAAAGATGTCTCTGTTTAGGACAATAAGCTGATTGTCATATAATAGCTGTCAGAGTTGGCTCCTTTTTGCAAGAAGTATTCTCCTCTATACAAGAGAAGTATGCAACATTTTAAGGTCTTTGAATGATATGCCTGGAGAGTTTTCCAAAGTTTGTAGGGCCAGAACCAAGAAATAAATATGGTCAGATTAAAAACTAAACTTGATTTGAAATGACGTTATCAATATTAAATTTAACCACTATTTCTACATTTAATAATTTTACAGCAGCTAGGTTTGGAGGAAGTCTCCATATTATTCAAGTACTTCAGTCTAGGCCATGTAACCACACATATCCAGGAACATTATTTGCAGTTACAGATTCAGATTCCATTCACCATTTTCTGGTTGCAAATATGTGGCCATGCTCCTGATGACTCATCATGAAGACATTTCATTTAAAATAATATACTGACTTGCTTTCCATTTGGTGCAATGGCTGAAGGAGCCAGGCTAGAAGCAGGAGAATGAATTCTAGTGCTATCTTAGGCACATATGCCAGTTATATGAATCTGGACAGTCATTCTAATTTATATCTAGAAAGAAGACAATGGCAAACACTTTCAAAAAATGCTCCCAAGACACTTAATCACTATGTAAGACTTTTTAAAAAAGAGGTTTTTTTTTTAAAAAAGCATTATCATATGAAACTACAAAAAAAAAAATATTTGGTGATGAGCATTTATTAATTCAACATACTATTTTGAAATGTAATTATGAAATACAGTTGCCAAGAAAGAGTTAATGTTATTTTTAAATGGCAGATGAGACTAGTGTGAATAAACAGAACTTTTAAAGAAAATTGTTATATTTTACTATTGTACTATACTTGAATTTGGGAAAGAAACATTGATCTATTATGATAGATATTGAATAATTTTTCATTTCTTAATTCATTTTAAACATAAATGCTAGTTTATAACATTTAGATGCAACTCACATACACTAAAGAAAATTAAAATGCTCCTGGATATATTTTGGAAATCTGACTTCCTTTTTAATTCTTTTCTGTTATAAAGCAACACAATACCCTTTTCACATACATTAATATATAGACTTGAAGGACTCTCTATTTCTTAAAATAGTAAATAAACCCAATAGCTATAGATAATATTTCAGAGGATCATTGCAGGAGAAGACACAGATATTTTAAAGGTATGAAGACAGAGACAGTGTTTGTGCCATTGGGTGCTCAGAAATATCCTTTTTGATTGAATCCAAAGTGCTGCACAATTCTAGTGTTGCATTCTTAGAAGAAGCTGAACATCAGGCAGTCCTCGAATTACAACCACCATTGAGCCCAAAAGACAACTGCTACTTGAATTTTGTCCCATTTTACTACTTTTTTTTTAAACTACAGTTGTTAAGTGAATCACTGTACTTGTTAAATATTGATGTAGTCTTAAGTGAATCTGGCTTCTTCCATTGACTTTGCTTGTCTGAAGCTGGCTTGGAAGGTTACAAATGGTGACCATATGACCCCGGGAGATGCAACTGTCATAAATACATGCCAGTTCCCAATTGGATGCTGCAATGATTATAAGTATGAAAATGGGTCATAAGTCATTTTTATCAGTGCCGTTGTAACTTCAAATGGTCACTAAATGAATCGTTGTAAGTCAAGTACTTGTACTCCTTTTATATAGCCATATTACACAGACTAATGCAAAATCTTTAAACATTATTACTTGTGACATTAAAGTTATATATCATAATAGATGTAGATGGGCCCCAGCTGTCTAACCAGTTAGCATTTTTTTAACAGCATCATATTAATTTATTTCAAACAAAGGAAAAAATTATCTCTCTTTTTGTAATGCTTATTTGGATTTTATGCACTTTTTTTTACTCATTTACTCATTGATGTAGAACCTAGGGTATATTTGTCTAATCTGTAACAAAAGTGACATGCAAAAAAATATATTTGTCCACCTTCTTCTGGTCACATGACCCCAAATATTTTAACAATGGATGCTTTGAAAATGTACATGGAATACCTACCGGAAAAAATCCTGGAGGGCAAAGATCGTCCCCCTGACAAAGGATGTGAGGCTGCAATGTTATTTAAGAATCCTTCCCTCAGGAATCTTGGGCAAAGAGACTGGAACCCAATGGCCGGGAAGGGTCCTTAAAAAGATAAAAACTGTCATTAATTATAGTCAGTGATTTTGGTTGCTGAAAAGAAACTGTTTCCAATAGGACCATGATAATATTAAATAGCTTAATTATTAATTTACAACCAGTTGTATAATCAGCTCATGCCAGCCAAACAGATATTACTCCAAGGATTAGATTTCATTCTGGTGCCACACTTTAATTGAGGAAAATGTGAGATTGGAGAAACATCTTTTGTTGTTATCAGCTTGGTTAACTATATTTTTTGTAGTTTTTCATTTATTTAATTTTCCATTTTCTGTTTTTTTTAAATTTCTTCCTGTAAAATTTATTAACATAAGTAAAAATGAAAAACTACATAATGCTAGGCAAGAAACCATGGCTTACCAATCATGCTAGCACTGCTCACAGATTTTATTAGGCTAAAGCAAGCCAATATATTTTCATATGATGCAATGTATGAATTCACTATTGTAGATGCCATTTATTAAAACCTCTCCTATTCTTACAGCCATCTTTTTTCCTTATCGATAAATCTGTTAAACAGGTAAAGTCAGAACATTTCAGTGAGCAAAATTATGTTTATACTTGGGGATTGTAAACTATATTTTCAATTGGGTTTAACATAACGATTTCTAATCAATACTTGGACCGCAATTTGGATATTATGAGAACCCAGGAAATCTTATTGTTCCATCATACTGTAATAGGTTGGAATAGTAATAATTGGACAAATTCATAGATTCTGCAAACCTCAAAGTATTAATAAGGTCTGCTAATGAAAAATGGTATACAGTTTTAGAGATATTGAAAAGTCGCACATAGTAAACTATGAAAGTAATCTTTGACTGACTATTCGAGTTTGATTGAAAAATACAGAAAGCCATAATTATGTAAATGTCTTATTGGATTTAGTTATTACAGAGGGACTCAAAAATTCAGATCTAATAAGACACTGCATAATATTTATTTGGAGACATTGTCATGATAATTTGAGCAGAAAAGTAGATCCTTCCCCCCATTGTACATGTTACAGGAAGAAACTACAAGTTCATGCCCTTCTTACTGTGTAGGATTTAACTCTTGTCTTCTACCTCCCAGAGTTTGATTACAAAACCTTAGAAGCTTTTTATTATGTTTTAATGACTTTTTTGTTTTGTTTTTATTTTTTTGCAAATAAAACTTCTCACATTTGGTTCAGTCTGGATACCAGAATTGTTGGAAATTTAATTATAGGAGGATTTGGTGACTCATTTTGTTAGACTGAATCAATGCGCGATTTGTGACTTCCAAAGATATAGGCAGGTTGTTTGAAGCAGTAAATTCTACCGCTTATCCATTAGATCTTTACCCAATTTGGTTTGTAGCTACTAGGTGGCAGGTTATTAGAGATACTTAATTTCCTTGATTGCCTGATTTATATTTAGCAGTGAGTTGAAAGAGGGATAGTAAATTGACATTGAACCCAGACATGTCAGAGGTATCCACTGTGAGTTGGTGTATTCCAGATAAGTAATAGACATTGTTTTTCTGAATGAGTACACTTTCCTAGAAAGAATAGATGTTCACATGGTGCTGTTTCTGAATGCAACTGTCTTGCTGGTTGCAAGAGTCAGGAGTACCCTTTACTCTTTACTAGCTGTGTCTCGTCCAGCAACAAAATGACCTTAATACTGTGGGCCACATGCTGGTAACTTGCAGACATGTCTACCATATCACACTTTATACGACTTTTGTATTTAACATGAACACCTCAATTAATGCCAAATTTAGCAATGAGGTTGGTTTGTAAAAATCACACTATGCTGTAGTAAAAAGATAGCATTGCACCTGTTTCAAATTTGTTTTAGCAAAAAAAAAAAAGGTGCTAGTTAAGTGGGAGAATATTTCTTTATACACCCATACCCCTGATCACTGATATCATCTTAGCAGGCTACAATGCCATATGCTCACCTCACAATGAAAAGTATTGAGCTTTTCCTCTTTATCTGCCACAATACTTTGCATACTTTGCTTTTCCTCTTTATCTGCCACAATACTTTGCAACCCATTCACTGAGTTAAATGGCTTGATCTCTTTATTCATTAAGAAGCCTTTAAACAATTTTAATTGTTGATTTTAATTTTAACATGATTGGATTAATTTTGATTTTATTTTTTATTGTAAATTACCAAGAGAGCTCAGTAGACGGTATAAATTGAATGAATGAATGAAAGAATATAACAGCATACTCCTGTGAGACTCACATTCCAGTATTACTGCAACACAAAGGATGATGATCAATGTAGGAAAATGCTGGAATCCACACATTTAAAACCTGCTATTCAGCGTTATATGCCTGTCTTCACCAAGAACATGAAAGAAGAGACAAGGGAACAAAGTTCCACATTAATGGTAATTTACACTGCAGTCTAAACTGTTTGTCACATTGTTCCTGGCTGCTTCTGAAATTTATTTCATCAATTCAGATCTGGATTACAGTGCGTTGGCAAAGATGTCTGGCTGAAGATATGATCTTTTCCAACAGTGACCACAACATGATAGACTTTTGTCTCAACATAGGTCCACACAAAAATCATTACAACGATGGAATTCCCAATTATAAGTTCAAAAAAGGCAACTATGATCTTATAAACAACAATCTCTCATCACTTGATTGGCAATTTCTATTCACTGGATGCAATACTGTAGAAGACCATTACAACATATTTTTATTTGAAGTCAAAAGCGTCATCAAACTATATGTACCATTAACAACTCCCAAAACCAGAAAAAACAAATTACCCATAACAATAAGGAAGCTTCAATTCAAAAAGAAATCACTTTGGCAGAAAAACAAATCTGATCATGTTGCCAACTTCAAAAGTCGGTACAAAAATTTGCCACCAGATAAAGACTGAATGCACCAATTATCACATTAAACAAGAAGAAAACCTTCTATGCACTAATTCCACTCTTGCTTTCTACAATTTTGTAAACAACAAACTAAAAGACTCAAGGTCCATCCCACCCCTGAAAGGACCTAATGGTAAAGACTGCAACGACGACACTATTAAAGCCAACCTCTTTAACACATTCTTTGGCTCAGTATTTGTAAACAGCAATGGATCATGCCCAGTATTTCCTAGTCGAACCACAGACAACTACAATGATCTTATACATATCGATTTTACAGAAGACAATGTTGAAAAAGCACTATGCAATCTAAAACCATCTCTGTCTATTGGACTGGACGGAATATCTGCCTACTTCTTAAAAAAGCTATCCACTGCCATAGACAAACTTCTAAGCATAATCTTTGAAAAATCTTTCAGGACCAACTCCTTGCTAAAACTATGGTCACAAGCCACAGCCATCCCCATCTTCAAAAAGGGAGACCCCAGCCTAGTTGAAAATTACAGACCAATCTCTTTATGCTGCGTCACCTGTAAAGTCATGAAATCAATTATTAATCAATCCATCATCCTTCACTCAGAAACAAACAGCCTACTCTCTAATAAACAATTTGGTTTCAGAAGGAAACTGTCCTGTAACCTGCAACTCTTGCACTGCAAAAACATATGGACTACACAACTTGATCAGGACGCAATCTACATAGACTTCTGTAAAGACTTTGATTCAGTGGCACACGACAAACTACTCCTAAAACGAAGGTCTTATGGTATCTCTGGATACCTGCATAACTGGATAGAAGCATTCCTGTCAAACAGACAACAAATGGTCAAAATTGGAAGCGTCCTATCAAATCCTGTACCTGTCAACAGTGGTGTCCCCCAAGGCAGTGTTCTAGGACCAACTCTCTTCATACTCTACATAAATGACCTCTGTGATCATATTAAGAGCAACTGCATTCTCTTCACTGATGTAAACACCACAGACCATACTGCTACTCTTCAAAAAGACCTTGACTATGTATCAGAATGGTCAAACAAATGGCAACTTCAAATCTCAACAAATAAATGCTCTGTCTTACATATTGGCAAAAAAAAAAATCAGAAAATAAAATACAGGCTGAATAGTCAAGACCTTGTTGATGATCCAAACTCTGTCAAGGATCTTGGAGTACTCATCTCTAATGATCTAAGTGCTAGAGCCCACTGTAACTACATAGCCGAAAAGGTGTTAAGAGTTATTAATCTAATCTTATGTAGCTTTTTCTCTGGTAATATTACAGTACTAACTAGAGCATACAAAACATTTGCTAGACCAATACTTGAATACAGCTCATCAGTCTGGAACCCACATTACGTATCTGATATTAACACAGTTAAGAAAGTCCAGAAATATTTCACAAGAAGAGTTCTCCACTCCTCTACTCTTTGCAGAATATCTTATGCCACCAGACTTGAAATTCTAGACCTAGAATGCAATGTCCTACCTGTCAATGAATACTTCAGCTTCAACCATAACAACACAAGAGCACACAATAGATACAAACTCATGGTTAATCGCACCAAACTTGATTGCAGGAAATAAAACTTCAGCAACAGAGTGGTTAATGTCTGGAATACTCTACCTGACTCTGTGGTTTCTTCCCCAAACCTCCAAAATTTTAACCTTAGACTGTCTACTATTGACCTCACCCCTTTCCTAAGAGGTCTGTAGGGGGAGTGCATAAGCGTACCAACATGCCTACCATCCCTGTCCTATTTTTTTTTCTTATATGTATCCATGTATTCATAACTATGTTTTTACTTATACCTATTATCTTGTAAGCAATTGACAAAAATAAATAAATAAATAATAAAATAAAAATAAAATAAATTGGTTAATCCCCTACTTTCTCTTATTTGCTCATGTAAGTAGCAGTGAACAGCCTATACTAGTAATGTACTAGTAAAGATAAATCTCTATAGCACAGATCTGTATTTAATAAAACACTGAAATTCATGATATTTTTCTATAATTCATACATCAGAAATTATTTTAATCAAGAATACTGAAATGTATCTTTTTTAGAAGAGAAAGATTGCCTGGTTTAAAACCAAAAGATGAAAGGCATGGAATGTCAG